CTGCTTTGCTTTCCAGCTCCTGCTTTGTGCAGACAGGCGCTGCCTACACCACTGGAGCATTCTGTGCCCTTTGGTTCAGCTGGCACCCTCCTGTCCTCAGCACAGGGTTCTGCTGTATGATTAGCCAGAGGAGGAAGGGGGAAGACAGACCCTGGAGGAGGTTGAATTGTGGTACTTCAAGGCAGGAGCTGTTAATATTAGAATGACAGTAGAAAAAAGGCCCAGACAGGCACTGGAATGGGATAGCAGGGATGCACTTTGGATCTCTGCTGCTGCTGAAACAGCAAACCCATTTTTCCTACGCACAGATGGGCAACTAAATAGTGACTGCAAGGGGCCTGAGGTGGATGCCTCTCAGTTACAAAAGTCTTGCGTTGTGTAAACAAAGTGATGTTTGTCATGCAAGGAGAGAGGGCTGCAAAGGTTCATTGCTTGCATGCTAGTAGGTTGCAGCAGTCAAACTGCCAGGTACGCCCCAATGAATATTGAATGACTATGTCAACAAGTTAAGTATTTATTGGCATAACTTCATCCTGAGTGTCCCAACTCAGTGCCCAAATCACCAACTGAAAATAGTCACTTTCTATTTCTCCTTTGCCAATGAATATTTAGTGATTTCTAGAAAATGAGTTTCCGCATGGCAGACCTGGATAATCATCTTCATTGCTCTGGGGCTAGTGATAGTGGTGCTATCTCTGCTTTGCTCAAATCCTTATTCCAAATGGAGCCAAGGGAGATTTGAAGTCAGGCCCACCACATCACATCACTCTATGGTAAGCTTCAGGACATTCTGTTTCCTTTTTTTGTGTGCCTCGTGCAGGAATTAGCTGACATAAGTTAAGACACCTAAAGGCACAGAGTAGCATGGATCCAAAGCCTACTTTTCCCTTTTTCTGAAAGGCATCGGTTTTGAGCTCCACTTCCCCTCCTGAGATTTCTTCCTGGCTTGTTTAGGCTTTGTGGATCACGCTCTTCAGTATCTAAATCTGTAACTTCGAGCCCAGCTCAGAGCTGCAGATCATCCCACAAACTGGCAAGGTAATTGAGAGTGAAGGCCTTAATGCTGCTGTGCATAAGAAAACTGGATCTATCCCACAGGTCATTTTAAGCACATTAAATAGATAATGACATTCTGTCTAAGCAGTTCTTTTATTTAGTCCATTTGGACAAACAAGATAATCTCACATCAACGGCATTTATGGAAATTTGGTAAATATTTAATATTTGAGAGCTCATCTGTCCCTGGGCAGAATGGTCTCAAATATCACTTGTGAGATAGAAATAATTCCTATAATACTGCAGGAAGACAACTGGCCCCATATTCTTAGTTACTGCTGAGAACTTGATGCTGCAAGGAGGAGGTCCTGATTGACACTGTAACCTTCACTGACCCACAGAACATGTTACTCTTTCTGCCCTTCTCTTTGCATAGTTTAAAACAAATATTTATTCTGTAATCAGTGGATGTCTCTGCACTACACAGAGAGATTTTCTGTTAAGTAATGTTTACTCACCCTGAAATACTACATGGTAGGTTTCTCATATAAGAGACATTGCAGAAAGCCATTAATTGCAACCTTGAACTTGCATCATATGCTTATGCTTTTGTGATCTGGAGCAAAGTAAATAATCCTGGAAATGTATATACATGGAAATGTCTCATTTCAGGTGACTACCGTAGAAGTTCTATCAAAGAGCCTTCTAAGTAACTTAGGAATTAATGTGCTTTAAGATAAAGAACTCTGAAGAAAATCCAGTCCATGTCTATTACCTACCGAAAGAAAATAATTCAGCAAATTAAGGAATAGGTTTGCAAGAAACAGATAATTGAGGTTTGGAACTTTCAGAAGACCTTGAAGACATCTTCTACAAGTCATTATGATGACATAATGAATTCAAAGTCTTCTGAGACATACACACTCTTCAGCACTTTCCTAACCAGAAGATTCTTGCTGGCATTGAGCTTTAAAAAAAAAAGGAAAGAAAAGAAAAAAAAAGATGGTGATGGAAAGATGTATGTCAAAATGCAGCAGATAGAGTCCCAGGCATCTATGCAAACTGGAAGGAGCGGTCCTCGAGAGCAGCCCTGCAGAGAAGGACCTGGGAGTCCTAATGGATGAAAAGCTTAACATGAGCCAGCAGTGTGCTCTTGCAGCTCAGAAAGCAAATGGTATCCTGAGCTCCATCAGAAGGGTGGCCAGCAGGGACAGGGAGGAGTCCTCTACTCGGCTCTTGTGAGGCCCCAGCTGGAGTACTGTGTCCAGGTGTGGAGCTCTCAGCACAAGAAAGACAGGGAGCTGTTGGAGAGGAGAGCTGTCTAGAGGAGAGCCACAAGGATGATCAGGGGACTGCAGCACCTCCCCTACAAAGACAGGCTGGGCTTGTTCAGCCTGGAGAAGAGAAGGCTGCGGGGTGACCTCGTTGCAGCCTTTCAGTATCTAATGGGAGCCTACAAACGGGAGGGGAGTCAACTCTTCGAAAGGGTAAATAACAGCAGGACAAGGGGAAATGGTTTTAAGTTAAGGGAGGGAAGATTTAGGTTGGATGTCAGGGGGAAATTCTTTACAGGAAGAGTGGTGAGGTACTGGAACAGGCTGCCCAGAGAGGCTGTGGATGCCCCATCCATCCTGGAGGTGTTCAAGGCCAGACTGGATGGGACCCTGAGCAGCCTGGTCATGAAATAGGGAGGTTGGTGGCCCTGCATGTGGCAGGGGGGTTGGAGCATCATGATCCTTGAGGTCCCTTCCAACCCTGGCCATTCTGTGATTTTGTGCTTTGAGAAGGAAACTAGAGACTGACATTGAGCAGTGGAGAGGAAGTACAGCTCATGTATTATTAACTGATTAACTGTATTTTCCATTTTTAATAGCTTTCCTCCATTGAAGGAAGGCTGGATCATGAACCAGGTTTTCAATGCAAGAAAATTAACTAAAAGGATACCACTGATTTTCAGTGAATTTTACTCAATGAATTTTCTATACCTTGAGAAACACCAAAAGATTATTTCTCTATTTGACATATTTTAAGAAACAAAGATAATTGGTTACAAAGGTACAAATGGAATTGTACCACTCGGTGACACTTCAACTGTGACTTGCTGTGACAGCTGTGAAAAAGTCTGAGAATTCTGCTTCGAACTGAGATACCCAACCTTGCTAGGCAACATCTACAACATACCCCTATTTTATGGATCTTTTCCTCACTTTTTAAAACAAGCTTATTAACTTGTCCTTTGCATTTTGTATAACATCACTTGCTAAGAACATTTATTTAGATGTGTTTTGGGCTAGTATTGTCACCTACCATTGCTAATCTCCAAATACAGATACTTTGCATTATTCCTTTAGATCCTCCAGTCATTCAAAATCAAAATACACTGACTTACCTTCTCTTAATATCTTCTTGCCTCCCCTTCTACCCCTTCCTGTCCATCAGCAGTGCACATAATTGTAGCGTAGAATTCAAACATTGCAAGCAACATTCTTTCAGACTGTACCTTTTCTGTTGACTTTGACAGTGCGATGCATCTTGGTCACAGGGAGGAACTGATGCTGAGAGCTAAGTTCTTCTGCTAGATTTCATGGTGGAAAACATTAAAAACAATGATCTGTGCCAAGGTTTTTACAAAGTTCGGCTATGTTTTGTTTGTCTATCCATAAATGCCCTTTCTCAAAGTGTGAACAGCAATCACTAAATTGCTCATAGAGCTTCTTCTTTTGTTAACCCCCATCAGTTGTGGACGATGTTTTGTGCATACCTAACTTGTTAGATACTATTTTATCTTAATGAATACATTCTCTTCCCCCACCACTGTGTGACTGGGAGCAATGGAAAGCCTCAACTGGGCAAATGTACCAACAAGAAAGGAATGTTGTGCTATAAACTTACGAAGGGAGAAAATGAGTTAGAGCTCAATTTACTTGCATATAGAAAAGTTATCAACAGCAGTTAGCCAATCACTAAACAAGAAAAGAAAAAAAAAAGGAGAAGAGTTTTAAGTATCAGTCTGCTTACGTATTCCAACTTCCAGTGACTTGGCAAAGTGACAAGATTTCTCCCCCTTTCGTTCAGAACACACCCCCACTTTCAGCAATTAAACTGACACCCTGGAAGTCCTCAGTTACCAACTACTTAGTTTCAGAAACTCACAGGAGAGGAAGAAAAAAAAAGAGACAGCCAGGTCAAACAGTTTCCAAACCTCACTCACCACAGCTACATGAGATTAATGCTGTTGACTTGAAACACGTTTATGGAAAATGTACAGCACTTCCAGAAGATGACTGCAGCAGTTTCACAGCACCAGTGGAATTTAAGGCCAGAAAACATCCACATTTTGCAAATGAAGCAAAAACTGATCTTAACAGGAAAACTTGGTATTAACTTTCATCTGCAGCATGTAACATAAAGGCTCATTGAAAAGTACGTGCTCCAAATCTGAACTGTGATTCACCTAGACTGAACACAAGTTCCTGCTTTGGCTTTTGGATGGGTGATAGAACATAGCATAACAACTCATCCCCGTATTTTCTCCTGGAAATTATTTTGAAAGAAGATCTATCAGCAATACTTGTTGCACCGTACTGAAAATGGATTTGGCTTTGGTAACACTGGAGGCTCAGTCAGTCCTCTTAATATTTTAGTGCAAATCACATCACTAAAAAAAATTGCGATATGTGAAAAGAAACAATGACAGACTCCTTCCTCACCTAGAAGGCTTCACATGAGGAGAAAAATCACAGTAATTTACATTTTTCAAAGCTTTCAGCTAAAAGTGATTTATGACAGAAAATAACTTCGCAGTTAATCATGCTGAATTTTCTTCAACGTCCTAGCATTGCAGCAGATCTAAATCAGAAATAACTTGAACAAAATGATAATTCAAAGCAGCTCCTAAATAAAATTAACACGACTTCAAAAATTCTCAGTTAAAAAGTAAACCCAATCAGAATTATCACTCCCTTTAAAATCACTAAGAAAAAAAATCACTGCAACAAATGAGCCTCATACAAATATTATTTTTATTTACAAATTTCCAAATTCTCAATCAAATCCAACTTTTCAGTTTAATGTGTAGCATTTATTCTTTAAAACAAATTAAACATTGTATTCTACTTTACATCTGCATTATGGAAACCATAGGTACATGCTAGTTGGGGCATTTCATGGAACCACTTTAGATCACTTTGTGTGTGTACATAACTAAGGTATTCTATGAAGACTTTTTCTTCAAAATGTATCTGCCTCAGTGACAAACATTTCCATAACCACTTTCTAATGATAATTAGGAAGCTTTAAAAACCCAGTATTTTATACCAGGACACACTGTTCACATATATTTCGGAGTGTGTTATCGCATTCATATGCAAAATTGCCTGCTCTATAAGCAACGCCACTGAAATCATACTAAAGATTACCCACAGATTTAGATATTATTCAATGTGAATAAAAATGGCCATCGATGACTTGTACTCAGGTATGTGTAACTATGGGCCAATCTGTACCTGAACTGGTACCAGTGTGATGTGATCTGTTCTGAAACTTGAAACCGCGTGGGTTCTTATAATAAAATCTTTTACAACTGTATTGCACATAAGTTCCTCAAAAGCACAAATCTACATAACCGTGTCCTGAACTCAGAATTTACTACTACTCTTGTGAATTAAATCCACCAGATGGTAAAACTGTTTATTTTTCTCATCCCTGTATCTGTAAATGAAGAGAAGAGGGAGACGACAGAAATATACATTTTGAATCCGTTCAGTTGGCTTTTTTTTTCTGCATGTGATTTGTACTTCAGAGATGAGACTTTCAGAAAGTAAAACAAAAAGCCAGACATGGATTTATCTTTAAAAGTACCTCAAAAACATAACAAAAATTCAATTTAATTTTGATACATATTAAAACATTTTAGTCAGTTCTGCCCGACAGCATAACACGACAGAAATGCACAAGACTTTAAACATGCTTTAAAATGACATTCAACAAAGTATTTAAAATTTAATAAATAGCATACAATCACACACAAATACATTTCATACTGGATCTTTAAGCCTACTAAAAACAGACTGGCAAAGAATAAATAGAACAGTAGTTGACATTTTTGTTTTTAAAAGGTGTAGATTCTTGTTGTCGAGCCAGTAACCACATATCAACCTGCTTATCACAAAATCGGAAGTTGTGAGCTTTTTTCCACTGATCTGTTTTGCTCCAACATGAAGTATCATTTAAAAAAATACACAGAAAGGGATTTTTTTTGTTTTTTTGTTTTTTAAACAACCAGTCTGCAACCAAGTAAACCAGTTTTTAAATACAATGAATAAATAGGGAATTAGTAAAGCAAATTCAATTGCAATAAAAATGCAACACCCCAAGAAAAGAGCCATGGAAATATATAGCCATTGCAATATTAGACAATAATAGTACTTAAAGTGATAGTGCCTGTGCACTAAGCTCATTTAGAGACCTTAATATGATTTTAGTGCAAATCCCTTGAGTCCAAACAAGCTTTATACCCTTGTATTAGGGAAAGATCTACTACCAGTTGGAACTTACTCTGTAGTGTATTTGTACATATTGGATATTTTAAAAAACTAACACATAGTAATATCTTCGGCCCTTTTTCACTTCAAATTGGAAAGACTAATGACTGGGGGCTTCACGCACTATTTGGCTGTATCATATTAGATTGCCACTTGGGAAAGTCAGTGCTATGAAAGCTTTTGCTAGTTTATCTATTGTATCTACCTAAAATTCATGAATCACCGCATTTTGTTCTTCTGAAATAAAAAGAATGCTCCCGGAGAAATCTTCTCCTCCCTTTAAATAAGTTCACATTAAAATGAAATCCAAGAATATTTAGACAAAATGTTGTATAAACTCAAAGTACATATTTTGCATTAACAATCCTTACCAGCATTTAGTATATTAAGTTACAAGTATGTTGGCAATAATATAACAAAGTCAATTCCTAAAGGAAAACAATTCTGTACAAATTCACCTGTTAATATGGGGTTAAACAGGCAGCCAAATAAGTCTTGAGCAGCCATGTTTCTGTTCTGAACTACCAGGAATAGACTAAATTTGAAACTAACCGGGATAACTTCAGTTTAAAGAGTAATCTCAGGTTATACTGGATACACACATTGTGTATTCAGAGCCATTACAACGTTCTCTCTAATAGTTCCATAAAGTCATCCAGTATAAGAAATGTTTAATCAACCACACAGTCTAAAATAGTTTTAACATAATGTTGTCCTGGACTTTTTAAAACTAAAGACTAGTTTTAACTGTGAAGTACAAAACAATGACAGATATTGCTCCAACTTGTACACAATCTTTCCTAAACAACCCGTACCTAGCAGAGTAATAATGCCTCATCGTCACTAGTTTCATTTTTCACTGTTGCTTCTAAGCAAGTGTCAGGTATCTGGGCAGTGTGTACGATGCCACAGCTCTCACAGGGGCCATCTCGACTGCACGACCTTACACCATGATGTGTTGCACTGTAAGGCTGTCTAAGCCCTGGTTCTTGATCTGAGCTGAGATCAAGCAGAGGTCTTGAACAGTCATTCACGTCAAAGTCTGATGCTACATCAGAGACTGGAATTAACATTTCAACATCATCATCCTCTTCTCTTCCACTTACCCCATTATCAAGCTGTCTCAAAGGACTTTGGTTCTGATTCACTGAGCTCGATCTCCCTAACGTAAAGCGTACCCAGCGTAAGCCTTGAGTCATACGACTTAGCGCGCTCGTGAGCTGGTGGCGTGCAGGACTCGTGCCTGGGGGCTCCACGCTCGTCACCTCTCTCCCGCTCTCTGTGCCGCCACCACTGCCGCTCTGAGCAGAGGAACTCCCACACGCTCCCACTGTGGCTTCTATTGCTGTTGCAGGTGGGACTTTCTGAGGCAAGGTAGCAGCAATGCCGCCAACTGCTCCTGCTGTGTCTCTTCTCTCATTTTCTGTATCTGTATCATCAGATTCAACTGAAAATAGGCTTCTGTGAGCATTACTCCTTTCAGCTTCTCTACTAGTACTTTGGCTGGCAACATCATCTCCATCTGCTGAGACCAATGCCAGTGATCCTGAATGCCGTGACCTTGCAAAATTAAAAATTCGATTCCAAATGTTACTTGATCTGCCAGCAATAGGAAGTCTGATGGAAGTAAATCCAAGTTGAGATCGCACTGCCAGTCTCAGGTTTTCCAGAACTGAAGCCTAAATGAAAAGACAAACAACAATGAAGTGTTGGCAGTATTCTGGCACTGATCTAACAAAAGAATGAAGACAGCTATTGTGCCAAGCTACATACTATCAGCAAGGTTAAAGGTAAAGTCTTCAGTACTAGAAATTGTTGAGTCTTTACTATTAAAGATCTGGTGTGTGTAGCAAAAGGCTATTTGAAACAAAGCAGGTTTGAAAGATGCCTGGACTCTCTTTAGGAAAAAACAGTAGGACCAGGGAAATGAAAAGGAGATACACGTTCAGAAGAAAAAAGGGAATAAAAAAAGCAATGAAGTAGATAAGATTCATTTTTGCCCGAATCAAGGACCTCTAGATTAAAAGAGAAGTGAAAGAAGATACACTGTAACTTTCATATGGAATGCTGATTACAGAAAAGTAGAACCTCAGATTCAGTGCAGAATTTATATCTGTTACACACAATCTCACAAGAAGGTAAGGTAACCACTGTAGCTTTCAGACCAGAGTTCATTGTAGCGTGCCTCAAAAAGTTTGGGATTTAAAGAAGAAATTTCCCAAAAACTCCCTAGGATTTAACAGAGGTGACTATTTGTTACTGTCTAACACAGGACTGCTTAACATAGAGATTGTTAAATCTCACCTCCAACAGAGATCCTTGACATCTATGGCAAAATGTAATGAAATCAGTTCCATTCGAAATAGAAAAAAATCCTCCACTTATGATGTAGTAATGATTCTTACATGCTCACCAACATGAGCCAGCAGTAAACTTTACTGTATTAAATGCAACACATAACACAAAACCAACTCAAGTAGAGCATTATAAGAGTATTTACAACACTCTATTTTAACCAAAAGCCAGTTTTTAAAAATATATATATTAAAGGAGCTGTTTCAACAGAAATTTAGAAATGCCTGCAAAGTAAACCGTGTGGTGCTGCCATATTATGATTTTGTCCAATAGCTAATCTTTAATAGAACATATCAGTGTGAAAGGAAAAAAAGGAAATATGAAACAATACAAAGCACAGGGAAGCTAAAATAGCATGATTTTTGTGTTGTTAAATTTTAACGAGTTTGCCTGTTTTTTGAAATCTTACCTGGTTTGGTGAACAGACTGGAAAGTCTTCAACTGGTGGAATTAAACCCTGGGCAATTAATTGTCCATAAGATGGAGGAGCTTCTCTTCTTAACAGTTCAGCTTCAACCCTTGACAAATGAGTTTCAAACGATCTTTCAAAGAGAAAAGAAATTTCTTAATACATAAGATTATGATGAATATTTAATAGTAAAACTACATCTGCCTGTTATAATCCAAAATAATAACCTTCAGCAGATTAAATTTTATTTTTTTATTAGTTTAATTGAGCCTTAATTGACAAAATGTCTATTTAATTTGTTCAAAATACAGCAATTTCTTGCAGTCATTCCTATAGGTCTGTCCAGCTCATAGAAGAACAACAAAAAAAAACCCTGCAACAATAAATTCCTCAAAAGCTTTGGTTAAATATAAAAGGCATCATTAGAGATGCTTACATTGCTTTACAAAAAAAAAAAAAAAAAAATGAGGAGTGCATAATTCTGGCATGACAGAATCTACAAAAGAAGAAACATGCTCTTAAACACGAACTGAAACATTAATTTGATTCCAGAAATGCAGCTTCTCCATACTTCCTTTTGGGTATCACCTGAAAGCTTAACTCCAAATAGTTAAGTAACCATAAGAATATTTCTGTCTTCTTTCAAAAAATAAAATATTAAAAATAAAATATTTCAAGCATAACAATAAAAAGATGGAAAATAATTTAAAAATCTAAGTGCTTGAGTCCAGCTATTCTACTCACCTTCTCTCAAACATCCTGAGTGAATACAATTTACAGGTACACCCCAGTGCAATGACAAGCAGCAGTCCGCAAATAAGGCTCCCGATTACAGCTGCAGTTATTACTCTAGTAGGCACAATGACTGGGCAATTTTCTTCATCACTGCCATCACCACAGTCGTCTTGAGAATCACAAACCCAGCTCTCAAAAACACAGCGATTATTTTTACAATGAAAATTTCCTGGCTGACAGAAAAAACAATTTTTTTCATCTGAACCGTTAGGGCAATGATTCTGGTAGTTGCAGCGATCTGAACGAGGGTAGCAAACACCATTTCGAGAACATGGGAACTCGTCTCTTTGGCACATGGTGCAGTTGGTTTCATCCCTTCCATTTGGACAGTGCCAGTAGCCATCGCAGCGTTGTTGCTCTGTGTAGCAACCCCAATTTCCACCACAAGGAATTTCCCAGGGCAAACAAAAGCCATCTACTTGATAGGTGGCATTGAAACCTCTTGCAGCATTCACTTTGTCAGCACAAAAATGCACTCTTATTTGTCCTGAAGATGAAACAACGGTGAGGGGAGCATGAGAGTCAAATGCTGTTAGCACACGCAACAGCCTCCGTGGATTCTCCTCTAACCCATCATATATTTTGACATAGTCTCCAAAACCCGTACCGTCGAGTTTGAAATCAGTGAATCGCAAAATTACTTTGCGATGATCACCAGTGTCTATCAGCCAGGTGCAGTTGCTTCCAGGTGGATAGAAGTCAGGATAATTGGGAGAACTGAAAGTACCATAAAAATATTTCAACCACTGCCCACACGTTGGCACTTCACAGTCTATTTCATCTCCAAGGTCAAGACAATCGATGTTACCATCACATTTTAAAGATTCTGGAAGGCAAGTGTAAAGCTTGGTGAAGCGAGAAAGACACTGGAAATGATTGCTAGCACACGGTTGAAAGGAAGAAACTGTTGGAGGATTAGTTTTGGCACAGATTTCTTCATCAGAGTTGTCTCCGCATTCATCCATATTATTACACTTCCAAGATTCTGGAATACACTTCCCGTTAGCGCAATGAAACTGGTCACAATCACAATTTGGTTCATCAGATTTTCCTGGGGCAAAGAAAGAATAAGTTATAAAAGTTCTCTCTAGTACTTCCTATTACTCTATGGTTACATCAGGTATTTTGGAATAGCAAAACAACTGCTTTAAATCTCTGTAAATCATTACAACTTTCAGTATGCTTTAGGATAAAACATCTTTTAAGTCTGAGTCAGCATGAGCCTCATTCTTAGCTACTTTCACAGTCAAATAGCTTTAACCTGTACAGGAAAACAATGCTCTTTTATACCGACTGAGAAACTTGGCTTCTACAACAGGAGAAAAAAAAAAGTTAAAAGATTGTTTCTCTCCTCCTTCACTCCGAATACACAAACATTTTGTCCTGCAGTATCAATTACCTTCTTGTAACCTTCCCTGTAAAAGCAGATAGTCCTCTCTCCTGTTTTCATAGGCTCCTACTTTGTACCTTGCACAAAAACATCTCGTGCCATAGATCGTAACAGTTGAAGGATCACCTATTATCACCACCCTATCTCTCCTATTACTCTCTTCCCTTCCTTGCCTCTCCTCCAGCAATGAGCCTAAGCACAAAACTATGCTTTAGAAGTTAAGGATGCAAGTAATGGTACAACAAACATGCTTCAAAAAGAAAAATTCAAAAGAAAAAAAGTTAAGAGACACCTTGATTTATAAAAATATGGTATACTGGCTACTACCAGACTTAGAAACAAGATTTTTTTTTCTTCGGGATTCATTTATGAAGGCTCCATCCATATTTGAACTGAAGCATGCCTCAATTTATTTTAGCTTTGTAGCAACTTACCTGAGTGAAATATCCCTAAATCACTTAAAATCACTTCAGTTTCTAAAACTTACTGTACAGTCTGTAAAACTGGCTGTAACACAAACTGCCATTGTCAATCTACCACAAAAACATCTGCCATGCAGATGGCTCTACAAAGCAGTAAGTCTAGAAGTGATTCGGACAAATACATTCTAAATCTAAACAACAGTATACTTCGGGTTTTTTAACAAAGAATCAGGAAAGGGAGCATTACAAACTTAATGGAAAGCAGACTTCCCCAGGAGAAGCAGGTTCCACATTGCTTTACCACCAAACGGTTCATATTGGAAGGGATTTCTGGATATCACCTGTCTGTAACAAGGTTCACTGAAGTTCGATTGGGTGACTCAGGGTGCAATCAAGTATTTTCAAAGTTTTAATGCTGAACCATACAAAATGATAAGAATCCTCATATATCTAGTTCTGATTTTCCTTGCTGCAACTAATATGCTCTGATAACTGAAGTCATGTCACATCTCTGTTCTCTATTTCAGTATCTTGGAAAACATCAAAAACAAATCTGCTACCCTGAAATAGTCAATTAAAAAAAAAACCAACATGAAACATCAGCATCCAAAAGATCTCACAAGTGCTAAGGGTTTTTTAAATAAAGAACATGGGGAAAAATGGAATCAATAAGATGACAAGTGTCATGACCACTACTCAGTAATGTTCAAGTGAACAAATTCACTGATAATATGAGAGAAGAGCAAAAAACAAAAGTATGCGCTGCCAGTGATGAAGTTTTTTAAAATGCTTAACTCATTAAAACACAATAACAGATCTACCATAAATGATGAGGAGTTGGACTCATTGTGATCTCTTGAGGTTTTTTCCAACCCCTGCAATTCTGTGATATGACCATCTTGCCCTGACTCAAGCACACACAACATACACAGTATTAACATGAGAAATACTTAGGATGAACTTGGGTTGTGAATTTGAAACTTGCACATGTGAATTCCTAGATTCATCCTGACAGTCCTGTGACCATGGGGCATGGGTGGAGGGAGATACAGTATCATATGCTTAAGAACTGGTGAACTTAGCACCGATCAGCACTAACTCACTGCTTCTGTCTTGAAGAACGTGGAAAAACATTGAGTAGAAAGATAAAATATGGAAATGTAAATATTCATGGGAATACTGTAGTAATGAAACAGGAGACAAATTCAACCAAAGCTCTTCTTTTTATAGGCTTTCGAACTGCCCAGAAAAGAACTGCCTACTTGACTCTGATTTAGCATTTTTAATCAATGATCCTAAAGTCATTCCATCAGAAAAGCATTCATATGAATTAAATACCAAGTATTAATACAAAAATAGTATTAATACTTCATACAAAACCCAAGGCAGTCTGTATCCCATCAGGTTAAGGAACAAAATTGCAAGGCTAGAAGCAAGAATGCAAAGGAAAAGAGTGGATGGAGGCAAATCTGTGGTCAAAACTGCAAAGGAAAATCCTCTTTGCCTGCTCCACTGCCCCCAGGTGCCTCTCTACAACAAGAAGGCCTTAGAGGTGGAAGGCTCATCTGTGGGTGATAACAGCCCACACACACAACATAAATTGACAAAACCAAACCAGGAAAAGCATTCCCCCAACATCAAGACTACATTGTTGAAGAAGAAATGGGTATTAGTTGTAGGTGATTCCTCCTTACAGGGAACTGAAAGTCCAACATGTCGAGCAGACCCTCTTAAGAGAAGGTTGCTGTCTTTCTGGGGCTCAGGTGAGGGATCTCACCAGGAAATTATGTAGCCTGGTATGGCTGACAGACCATAGCCCCTTAGTGCTTTTCCATAACAGGGAGAGATGAAGCAGCTTCACACGTGGATCAAGGGCAATCAAGAAGGACTCGGGACAACAGCTGAATGAATTGAACGCACAGACCATCTTTTCTTCTCTGCCTCGTGTATTGGGTAAGGATACAGGAACAAATCAAAGAATCTTATCTTTAAATATCTTGTTTCATGGCTGGTGCTGTTGCCAGAACTTTGATGGTTTTTTTACAACCAAATGAGCTACAAGGCACCGAGTTTGTGGGCATGGGATGGGGCTTGCCTTTCTCAAAGGGGAGAAGGGTCCTTGGGGAAAAGCTAGAAGGGCTTAAAACTAGGTCTGAAGGGGGCAAGGGAGACAGCAAGCCTTCCCATGGTGAGTGTGGGATGACATAGCTATATTAGAGGGACAGGGTACTAGAAGGGGCCTGGAAGGACCCACTGCCTTGAGAGGTGCTACCAACATTGCAGCGTATACAAAATCCTGTGATGATGAAGCAGTAATTGCTGGGGCAACAGGAGAAGGCAATGGGGAAAATCAACAGAAATGCTTAAAAGGAATTAAGGAATTATATCTTTCAAGGAAGTGACAAGACCAGCTGCCCAGCTGAAATGCCTCTACACAAACGCAAACAGCCTGGGAAGCAAAACAGGAGTTGGAAGCTACTGTGCTACTAGAAAACATGATACAGTTGCCATATCTAAAACCTTGTGAGATGATTCCTATGACCAGAGTGTGGTTATCGATGGCTACAAGCAGTTCAGAAAGGATAAGTGACAAAGGAAGGGTGGAGGTGTTGCTATCTACCTCAGGAAGGGAATAGAACATAAATAGTGGGCCTTACAAAATTGTTATGAGCAAGTTGAAAGTCTATTGGTGGACAGATAGAGTCTGAGGCAGCAAATGGAGCCTTGTGATCAGTGTCTACAACACATCACCAGATCAGTCAAAGCCTGTCTATGAGGCCTTCTACCTGCAGCTACAGGAGGTATCACCATCAGAATCGCTTGTCCTGCTGGGGGACTTCAACCACCCAGATATCTACTGGAGAAGTAGCATGGTGAGCTGTAGGCAATCCAGGAGGATTAACGGACAAAGAAAGAGCCCTGATGTCATCTAACTGGACTTCAGAAAGGCTTTTGATATAGTACTCCACAACATCATTCTCTCCAAAATGGAAAGGTATGATTTGATGGGTGACTGTTTAATAGATGAAGAACTGGATGCAGGATCAAGTCCAGAGAATGCTAGTCGATGACTTGATTCTGAATGGATATCAGTGACAAGGGGTGTCCTCCAGGGGTCACTGCTGGGACCAATACTCTTTAATAGCTTTATCAGTGACACAGACATGGAGTCAAGTGCATCCTCATCAAGTGTGCTGACAACACCAAATTGTGGGGTGCAGTCGACACATCTGAGGGATATGCTGTGCAGAAAGACCTAGACAGGCATGAGCAGTGGGCCCAGGTGAATCTCATGAGGTTAAACAAATCCAAATGCAAGGTCTTGCACCTGGGTCATGGCAATCCCACAACAAATTCAAACGGGGATGAAAGGATTGAGCGCAGTCCTCCTGAAAAGGATCTGAGGGTACTGGTGGATGGCAGGCTGGACATGAGCCAGCAAAGTACCCTTGCAGCCTAGAAAATCAACTGTATCCTGGGCTGCATCAAAAGAAGTGCAGCTAGCAGTGTGAGGAAGGTGATCCTGCCCCTTTACTCTGCACAGGTGAGATGTCACCTGGAGTACTGTGTCCAGATGTGGTGTCCTCCGTACAGGAAAGATATGGACCCACTGGAGCTTGTCCAGAGGAGGGCCACAAAAATGACACAGAATATGGAATGCCTCCCCTATGAAGACACATTGAGAGAGCTGGGGCAGTTCAGCCTGGGGAACGGAAAGCTCAGAGGAGATCTGATAGCAGCCTTTCAGTATCTAAAGAGAGATTATAAGAAGGAAGGAGACGGAATCTTTAGCAGTGTCTCATGACAGAACAAGGGAAGTGGTTTAAAACTAAAGGAGGGGAGATTCAGATTGGTTATAAGAAAAAAGTTTCCTATGATAAGGATAGCAAAGCACTGGAACACACTGCCCAGAGAGCAGTGGATGCCCTCATGAAATGCTATTCACTGCATGAACACTAGTGAGGAAAAATCAAAAAACCTAAGTGCAGAGCAAAACCTTGGTTAGCACTGCCAGAGTCTTCACACTGGAAATGGGAAACAATCAGAAGATTATTCATCTGTGAAACATAATACTACCACCTCAAATATGAAGGATTTCTCAAGTATCTTATCAACCATATAGACCAAGATCAAACTACAGTTTCATATGGATCATTTTTAAAAACACACACACTTTCAAAAAGACCTTCAGAAACATTGCAGATTAAACATCTCTACTGAGGTGTTGAGTAATACTGAATGATGCTAACAAGAAAAAAAATCAAGTAACCTAATGAAAGAAAAAGTGTAGTGTAGAAAAAGATAAGAAAGGATTTTCAAATACTCTTATTAAGCTTGTGGCCTCCCTCCCCACCCAATCCCCACCCATATCCAAAATATTCCTCTTTTCAAAGCCCCTCCATGGCAGGCATATTGCCTTTTCTCTGAGCCAATGAGTACTGCACATAAGCCAAGCAGAAGCCAATGTCTCCCATGGAATCACAGCATGCCTGTGGGCAGTGAGCAGTTACTGAAGGATTACTCATTAGGCAGTAATTTTTTCCGTCATGTCTTTTTGTCAGACTGTAAGCAAAACTCAGATGGAACGTTGCTCTGAGAGCCAAGTCAGCAAAGACATGCCTGCACTACTCCCAAAACTACAAAAACCTGAAGCATAGAGGATACTTTATCACAGGTTCTGGGTGACAGAGAAGGATAGGGCTTCCTGGAAACTTAAAAATTTGTGAAGGAGCTCTGACAGGGCAAAGAAAGCCATTAGAAAGGCTGCAGAATACAAAACTGGAACAAACCTGGGTTACGCTAAGACACGAGCGCCTTTGTTGAAGCTTGGTGGAATACTCTTGAACTTGAACAGCAATGGATAGATATAAGAGTATGAATTGTTCTGTGTAGGAGAGGAATTGAATGTAGATATGCAGAGATTTGAAGCAGGTCAGAAAATGGAGTATAAACATGCATGAGCAAGAGAACATAAAAACATTAAAAAAACAAAGATGAATCTAATCCAATTTCTTTGATCAGGAGGACATGGAACACCATGATCATGCTATTAAGTGAAATCCTACTTCCACCTAGGGCCACAAGAAAGGTTTGAACTAGTCTTAACCAATGGCTTCTCACTCTCTCTATGGGCAACAGTTATCACAGCAAAAATCCCTCTCAGAACACTCTCAAACTACTTCCATGGGTAAGTAGACCATCTGAGCTTGAATTATCTAAGAAAAAATCATGCATGCAAAACCACAGCTGTACTTGGTTAAAGTAATTATCATTTGAATAGGATTTTATTATTTTCTAACGAGAGTATACTTTCAAAAGATGGGGAAAATATGATATACTTCCACCAGAAATTATTCTAAAAAAACCCAAATAACAACAAAATTTCTTCTCTCTCTTGACATGCTACTTAGTATTCTAGTCAAAGATTTAACAAACTACTTTTATTCTAATGAAAAAAAGTGTAAGCTATGTTAAAAACAACAACCAAGACCTCTTCCAGTTGTCTAGTATTAATTGATTTATTTCTCCAAAATGATTCATTCTGCTTACTATTGTGAATGTTGTAATTCTTGCTTTGAATATTCAATATTCATTATTTCAATAAGCTCTGAACTCACTATACAAAATGCATATACTATTTCCTACTATAAGGAAACAGTCCTTAAACCAGAAAAGAAAAAATTAAACTGTGAAATTCTATAAGGTATCATTTGAAACATACCAGCAAAATAGGCTAATCTGAAGCCTTTTCTGGAGATGCTGTCATCTGAATGAAATCTGATCCAAACATGATCCTGTGAAGAGATGTATGGTGAAGGAATGGAGGAGCCACATGCTCTATAGCCTTCAATATTCTTGTAGCTTCCAATTGTTAACCAATCTGAGCTGCATCGGCGCGATCCCTGAACATCAAAATCTTGAAAGCTGAAGGAAAAGAGAGGTCAAAATCATTTCTGAACTGGATATTACACAACCAAAATAATGAATTACTAGATATAAAAATGGAAATAAGATGAAAGCACTTTTCTGATCTGAAGTAAAAAGAATGGCTTTTGACTCCGCTAAGAATACAATTCAACCTTGAAGGCTATGGAGGACTGCAAGAATCCATTCTGTCAATTACTGCATTCCATCCGCTATTGATAAAGCTGTTTCGCTAACATAATGAATAAATAAATCTTTCATTTTAACACAAAATTTTAAATAATTATCTTCCTGAAATCGTATTTTTGAGTCTCATTCGATGACATTCATGTATTACTAAATGATTTTATATAAACCCAATTTCAGCAGAACTTTAGCTAGTGCTACACTTTTCCAATGACATGACTTGACACTGCAAGTCCAGCTAAATTGTTCAAAGGTACTTTAAGATAAGAGCTGCCCTTAGTCGCACTACTTAGTTACCCAGTGGGTATGTCATGGAAGATATTACCCGAGCTTTGACTACTGCTATATAAAGACATGCTGCCATGGTAATGAAGTGCGAAGGGCAGATAGTCCAGGCAAAGCAGGTCAGCACAGACAACAGAGCAGTAAGCCACAAATGTAATGTGAAATGTATGCTAGGAAGATGAGCGGAAGAAAACAGTGTGGGAGAAAAAAGTTTTATTAAAAATAAATGATATGAAAAATTTTAGAAAGCATCCTAATAAATGAACAGTTCTATGTACTTTGCATTGTGTTTATACGAGTTTAGTTTTTAGTAGAAAGGCTCTGAATTAAAAAGAGGTACTATAAAAGGAGTAACTGAAGGAATAACTGATGTTAAAGTAGATACTTCATAATGAAGAGCTGTTTCCTAGGTCAGCTGGTCTGTACTAGAAGCTGAAGTAAGTCTGCAGTTAATGCAGTTTCATAATTGGGAGTATGGATTGCCTATGAAGCAGTACTGGTTTGTATCTTATTGACAAAAGAAGCTCCCATTTCCCTCATGGCAGTAATGGGAATGAACAACTTTTTTCTTCTTTCCAAACGTTACAATGTACCTAAAACTATGAGGGAAGTCAGCATTTCCAAAAAACTGCAACTACCTCCATTGCTTTACTATTTATTCCCTGCCACTTTTAGGCACAGCATCAGACTTCACAGTAATGAAGCATTACAGAATTTCCCATATACTTTTTGAATGCAAGACTCTCATATTTCAGAGAAATTAAAAAGAGATCAAATAAATGAGCACACAGAAAGTTATTCTAGTCTCCACCACTCTGAAAGTATACTTGGGATGGACAGAATGAGCATGGAAATGATCCACTTCAACTTTACAACATACCATTTAATACTGACACCATTACAATATGTCACACAATATATGTTAGCATTTTGTTTATAACCTCCTAATCTTATTAAAATCTCTTATTAAAAAGTTATGACAAAAACAAAAAAAGTCTAAAAAGCCAGAATGACACCATCATTAACTTACATAAATTTAGAGAAGTATTTTTTGAAACGCATGTATTTGTTTCAGCTTTACTATTCTTCAGAAGGTTAGCTTTTGCTTCTGCACTACTAAATGGAAAGGATGCTGTTTCCATTAGCTAATAGTTCTTATTACTTTCAGCAGAACTTGTGTATTGTCATAGTTTGAAAGGAAAACATATTTTTTTCATGTACATAGAAACACAGAAAGTTCAGACAACAGATGCTACATGGCTGTGTAAGTGTAAATCAGGTAAAATGAAAGGTAAAAAAAGACAAATCACAAGTCCCACATTTACAAGAAGGATAAAGGAAATTAGTGCATACAATTGGCAGTTAAAATGTCTACTCAGTACATCAGTCCATGTGGTTAATAACAGGACCACTGTTACCTTATGGTAATGATCTCCCCTGGGTTTGCATGGATGTACCAACTACAGTTGATTCGAGCAGGATACTCAGAGGGCCACCCCGGACTTGTGATTGTCCCACTTGGAGATCGAATTTGTTCTGGAATATCTCCACAAGCTAAAAAATACATATATTGAAAACATACAGAAAATAATTAGATTGATTTTTTTTCAAATGGTTTTTAATAATATAATTGATCATCAGTACATATCACCAAAAAAAAAACAACTCACACAATCAGATGAGATACTAATAAAAACCAAACGTCTACAGTAGCTTATAGTGGACACTGGGCATAATATACCAGCTGGAAGATGATTTCCACTGTTTTAATTGCAGAAGTTTATTCTAACATCATTTTGCATACCACGTTTTACTACAAACTAATATAAACTGAATTTCACATCTTTATTCAGTAAAATACTGTTTCCCAAATTTATCTTGTACCTGCCACAGAGATTCCATTCAATTTAACTATACGTTTACGCCTTATACTGGCACATTAGAAGATTAAAAGTAATTAAAGCACAATAATCAAGTAGTTGAAAATTCCTGTCCTGTGCAGAAAAGCAATGTCTGCCCATTGTTTTAATAGCCCCTTCCAACCCTAGCATGGAAATGATCTTCACGCAAATGGTTCCCAGAGCTTGGAAGGGAAAGAACACTTACTGCAGCATACTTCACCTACAAATACTGAAAGTTAGTTTTACAAAAGATTACTTTTAAGAAGCACTTCCAAACCTACCTTTCTCATAACGGACTGGGAAGCTTATAAGACAAATTATATGCAATCAGAATAACCAAACTATTTGTATTCTCACTTATTTAATAATTATAGGAGCAGTTTTCTACAGTGGCTTTAATTCAGCTGCCTGCCATCCAAGTATGCTGAAAAGAAAAAAAAAATCTCAAAATGCGGACAAATAAAACTGTATTTGAACAGCTCACTCTCCAGTGGAAGCTTTTTCATTTTAATTTCCAGGAGACCCTATAGGTGGTGCTCGTACACCACGATATTTTGGAACATTAGTCTTGCATGAGCAGTCCGGATACACACCTTGCATATCTTTAGACAGGAAATGAAAGGACAGGCAAGAAAAATACCACAATTACAAGTTGAAATAATCATTTTTGACAGGAATGAGAGTAAAACACACACAAAAAAAGTTAAGTGTGTATAAAACATTTTGTATTAAGCTTACAGATGCTGGTACGCAATTCCAAATGCTACTTGGCTGCTACTGAAATAGTAATCAGCTTAAAATAATTACCTTCAGGTGATGTATGCTATTTGAACATTGATTTTGGATATTTACAAACTGACATACTTGATTTTGTCTGAGAACCTCTGAGGAAGCTTTTAAATTTGCCTGACAACAAACTGCAAGAGGCAACCTCATCCTAACATATCAAAATAGTCAATTTAGGAAACGTTCACTCTGTTCACCTCCAAAGCAGACTTTAAATATATATATATATGCACATATATAGCCTGTATCTGTTGAACAGAAAGCTCCAAATGCAGCTAGCAACTGTAAATTAACATGCAATTAACTTAGCAAACTTCCAGCGTTGGCTCTTTGACAGCTGTAATTTCTCAAACCAGTCCCTGCAGTAGTACCAGCAGGCAACTTTTACTTGTTGAGCAACTTCAGAAGAAATTCCATAAGGAAAACACCTGTATAATCAGCTTGGTATTTTCAGAACACTCTGAAAATTTGCATTGCACTAGTAGTCAAGATTCTCTTGTCCATGACTCCTCCCTTTTTGTTTTTCATTTGGGAAAGCTGGGGCGGGAGGAGGGGAAGGAGGAAGAAGAAAGGAAGGGCTGCAGTACCAGCTATCTCACTTTCTCCCTACGTTTTCTATACCTTCACTTACAATTTCAGTCTGTTTCCATCAAAGCTGACACTAAAGAGCTGGGGACAAAACATGAGTGAAGGTTAGCTACATGATCCCTGCATGTGCATACCTGCATGCTTGATACACATTTATGTACTGAGATCTCTTTCTTACAACTAATGAAACAAAAGAAACCTCTCATTTGCTCAAAAAATTTATAAAAGTTAAGACTGTGTGGAAGCTACAATTCAGGAGTGCTGTCATTTTGGGAGAGTAATTTCTCAGAACGACTTTAAAAATCAAGTGCCACCTTCTGAAATAAAACAGTTGTAAGAGGCACTTACTTTATTAACATAATATCAAGCCTTTATAATAATTTCTGTTCCTTTGCTTAACTAGGATATTTCTTCTAAAGCTTTTAACAAATACATGATTTATCATATTTTATTCATCTATTTGTAAACCTGAAGAACATGAGGAACACCCAGGTATCCATGGAACCAAAACATAATTCAGCTGACAGCACATGAAGTTAAACATTTTCCCACTAAACTGCAGAGATTTTGCACTTGTAATTTCAATTGCCAGTGACCTTAGGTCCTTGAAAACTACAGGAAAACAGAGTAGCTTTGGATTCATATACATAAAAAGCACTTAAAATATTTACAAAAACAACAGAATGTTAATCAGAATCAGGAAAAAAGAAATGAAGATGTAACAAAGACAGAAACCCAAAGTAAACTGTGAAGGTTGCCTTGTAGTCAAGATGAAAAGCAGCACAAGTCCAAGATGCCTTCAGCTTTCCTCATGCAGGTGGCTACCAGACTTCAGAGGTGAGACCAACTGTCTCCTGCACACGACTTTTGCGTGGGTGTCGTCTCTGCCTGCATTCCTCTTCGTTCCCCCTACACCACTGTATTTGTGCTGCAGTTCTGCTCACGCACATCCCGTTTTACATTCTTTCCTTCGTGAGCCTTTATTTTATTGACAATCTGCGATTCTGTTCGTTACTTTGTTCAGCAGATTGCAGTAATTTTATTAGGACTGAATGTTTCACATGCTGAAGTGCAAACAATGCTGCTGAGAAGATAAGCTGTGCATGTGGTTTTCTGCTCCATATAGATTTTCTTGTAGATTTTAAAAACAATCCACTTCACAAAAGGTTTCCTCGCTCCCTCTTCCTGAAATTTGTTCACTGCCCCACATTACGGAACGTGACTGTAAGTTATGTATGGGTTGTTGGCTGGTAAGTGAGAGAGTTGATGAAAATTTCAGGATACAAAATTCCAATATCAAGTTCTAACAAGAAAATAATTAAGAAAGTTATTCAAAAATTCTGTAGTAAGATCTAGAGAGGTAAAGTACCTGTAGGAACAGTTAACAACATGTCAAAGAAAAAAAAGTCACTTCAGAAAAGCAGGGAGAGGGAGATTAGGGATTTATCTTCACAGTAATGCCAGGAGATTAGTTGAAAAGATAAAAGAATTAGCTTTCAATGTGAACCACAAGATGATAAGGCATGCATTATATTGGACATGGTAAGGACATGAATGCAGTCGGATAAATGATCTGAAGGTGTTTAAAACAGCTTAGAGTAAAAAGGGAATAATGTTATGATAAAGTCTAAACCATGAATAGGGAGGATAATTATTGAATTTGTAACTCTCAGGAGCCATTGAAAGTCTTATTTGGAGAACTACAGGGGAAGAACATAGGAATCCTTGCCTCGAGGTAAGGCTGAAAAACCTTTAATTTAGAATGCCCTTTGCTCTGCAATCCAGAGACCAAACAGAGAAGTAGTAATCACTATATATATTTTTTATTTATTGTTGCAAAGAAGTTTTTTCTCCAATACAGAAAATCTTTCAAATGGAGGAATAAGATTTTGCAGTTATGACAATTATGGTGCTACACACTCGAAAGACAGACCTGAAAATATTTCTCAACTTTTCAGATTTTAAAGGCATTAACACTTGTTCAGTAGTAATAGTTTATACACGAGACAACATTCAGTTATTGCTGTTGGTAGAAGAAGCATGTCCATATATTAGAGGTGTACCTGCAACTTGGCAGATATAATATACAGCAGAAGCATAAATTCTGAAGATCACAGTTGGCCCTGCTATTAAAACATAATTTAGTGAGGTAGGTCATGTAGTTTTAGAACAGCAGCACGACAGGAAATCTACCATCAAGACAATAATTTCATTTTAAATTCCTTCCCAGGAGCAACTGTCCACAAAAATCTCCTGCTTGGTTTCAAAATCAAGTTAAAGTTGGATTTAAAAAAGATTAAAGGCCAGCTGTCTTTGGTTCTATTTTACAGAAACCCTTTGCTTAAAATTGATTTGATATATGTAAAGCTAACCAGGTATGCCTGATGAAATATATACTCTCCAAGTTCAAACACCTTTGGGAAACCCAAATTGTTTCAAATAAACCCAAAAAATCATGCAAGTCCATCCTCTCTCATTCCTGGCATAGGCACTGAAGTTGTAAGATGTACATCACACATGTATGCACACGACCATCAGGGAAATGCCAGTGTGTCTATTAATGTGCTTTCTTCATGTTTTCATTAACAGAACCCTCTATGTTATCTTACATTTTTTCAAGTTACTCTTAACGTATCTATCTTAATGTATCTGTCTTAACATATAATACAGTTTTCTAGCTGGAGGAAAAAATGTATTTTTTAGAATACAGCACCGTCAGAACTATTTCTTAAAAAATATGTTTTACTTCAAATGAAAACCCTCACTGGATCTTTTTTCTGAGGAGGTAAAGGCCCCTTTACCAGCTGTTATCTCACACCGAGATTGCGTTGTCCCTTTCTTGGCACAGCCAGTTTGTGCCTGCTGGCCAAAGGACTGAAAGCAGTCAAAAATCCATTCACTTCTTGCCCAGCAGATGCTTTTCTGCTTGTACTGTGACTTGTGACATGCCTGCTGCAGTAAATAAAAGGGTGAAGCATTGTTAAAACCTATGCAGCTTTCAGGATATCTCATACAGTACAGCAGCAATTACTCCAACAGCAAGTGCCTGTGCTGTTACTTAAGTGTGCCATAAACTACATACAATACTTGGTGCATTATTATTGTTGAAAAAACAACATTCCAGATGACGCAGCACCAGAAAGGATAGCAAAGATCTTCTGTAATTAGCCTTTTGACAGTCTTTGTGTGGCAAACAATGGAAGGTGAAAAGAAGGTTATATGGTGTAATAGAGACCATTTGCTGACAGCACATTTATCTAAAAATTGAACTGTGTACACAAACACCAATGTAAGGCTTGAACCCACACTGCAGGAATACCTGCAGCACAGTGTGCAGGCTGCTGTCAAGAAGGAATTAGCATTTTGACTTTAAAAGTGTCAAAATCACTTTGATTTCCATGGTTTAACAGCAGCTTCCCTATGAACATAATCAGGCTTCTATTCTTCTGCCCATATTTTGAGTGTCTGTATCACAGAAGTGTAAAGTGTGACCAGCAGCTCTGCTGACACTGAAGAACAAAGCACATACACTGTACCACCTACTGCCTTACTGGACATGCGGTCACACCACCAGTACCAAACAGGGGCAGCTGTAGCTGCTGCCCAGAGGCGGCCCAGGACTGAGTGACTGGAAGAGAACGAAGCAATCTTTGAGCAACATTTGCTGCCGTTTTGCCCCACATTCTCCCAACATCTCATCAGTTTCTCAGTTTCATGAGTCCTAAAATTCTTTCTTTTCTTGTATTAAATAAACTGTGCAGTCAAGTGTACAGTAGTTTCAGTTACAGCTTCAATCTAATCAGGTGAAACACATAACTCCTGGATTTATATTATTTGATAGTAGCAGTGTTCAAAATTACATTTCAATAAATTTCATTTCACAAAAAAACTTTACTGTGGAAAGAAAATATCAATTCAACTTAAACCAACTTCTCTCTTAGTTCAATGTTTGTACGGAAAAATAATTAAGCAGTCCACTAAGAAAGGCATAATCTGTTCATAAGCATGCAGGTATCAATTTTATCTTATGAGAATTTTTCCATGTTCCAGTTGCTTCATTCCTTATTACATGCTGCAAAAGGCAGTAATAATTTTTATAGCCAAATATCTCTTCATAAGATACCAGGTGGCTTTCAATATTTACTATTTAAGTCATGCATGAAATTTAAACATTACAAAAAATGACTTACCCGTTGACACTCCTGAAATATGCACATTTTCAGAATGTTCTGCAAGAGCACCATTTCCTAAAATTAAACATAATGAATAAGCTAATTTCCAAGATAAAATTTGTAAAAATTCTTCAGATACCTTTTTACAGAAGAGAAAGAACAAAACCAAAGTATTTTAATTAATATTAAGAGTTACAGGGCCCAGGTTCGTTTTATGATAGAAGTTAGAGAAAAAACTAGAGGAAAAAGTTATTATATAACAAAAATAAAAACAACCACCATTAATGCATTAAGAACAACCACTTACAATAGAAAGTTTAAGTGAGGATAGTAGCAAAACTCTGAGAAACTTCAGATATTTTAGATGGAAAATTTGGAATTATTTTTCCATCAACTGTTATGTTGTTTTCAAGAAAGGTTTATTTCAATGCACCTTCCCCATCTCCTCCTAGATAGAAGTAAATGTTATGGAAATATAGACAGCCCCAGCAAAACAAGCATCCATTTCACACTGAATGTGGCCTACACTCTTTCCCAGAAAGATATTCCAGACAAATCCAAGAACCAGCTACCCCAATGTTCACTGCATCTTTTCTCTAACCTTTATGTTTTTAAAGCCAAACCTCCCAGGCATTTCAGGAGGAGGGAGCTACTTTCATAAATAAGCTGCTCTGAACACAGGTGGTCAATCTAAAATTTGAAATGTATCAATGAGAGAAATTTTAAACCCCTCAGTCACACTTCCTCCAAGTCTCGTTCTGCTGTAGTGTGCCACATCCCACCTGTTTTTAAACAGGCAAAATCATTGGTCTACACCAGTGCAACGTACCTGCAAGACCTTGGGGTAACAAGATCCCAAAGCACATACAAAAACAAATTCCTCTTATATCAAGCTTACAAGACTGCTGACTCATTTGACCTAAACACAGATCGACGCAAGCTTCTCAACACCTCTCAGTTGCAGTGCTTACAGATAAAATGCTTCACGAGTTCCTCCCAAGGTTGACACTAAATACAAAAAGGCAATTTTTCACTTCCCAAAGAATGAAAACAATTAGAAGACTTATTATCAGAATTCATAGGATAATATTACATCTACTTTTTTTCTTTTATTTCCCAAACTAAATTTGGGCTCTTAAAGGGAAGTTTTTCTTTTCCCCATATTTTACATGCTAATTTCATTACAGATATTTACATACCAAGTTGTTTAAAAAAAAAAATTTCCCACTGTGATTCCCCTGTAAGTTCAAAAGGCAGAAAACCACAAAAATGACTTCAAATACTGCTGTATCAAGAGAGCAACTATTATCCATTAAACTGCTTGCAAAAATCAAGTGTATCTGTAATTTTAAAAAAAGCTATTAGAATCATAGAATTACTCAGGTTGGAAAAGACCTTAAAGATCACTAAGTCCAACCACAAATTGTATTCTACAAATACTTCCTCTATTTTGCACATAACTTGACGTGCCAAGGAATGCTCCTCACTGATTTCACATCTTCAGTAACACTTAGCTCTACATTTACAAAATAACACCATATTTGATACAAAGGAGCTTTATTTATAACAGATTCCACGAGAGCACATTTCCAATTGCTTTGTTTTCTATTATTGCTATCAACATAAGAAAAATGTTACTACTTCAAGATCTTTAGTTTTATGTCTTGCAAATTACGGTAGCAATTATTCACCAATTGCATACTTTCAAAGAGGGCTCATTCAGAGATAGATGCAAGGCATATACAAAAGATTCTGAAAAAATAAACTGTAAATAATAACCAAAAGCATACTAAAATGGGAACTCAAACCCAAATCCTGCACACATTCACTCAGAATTGTTAGAATAAGAACATCAGTTTGCAAAATGGAACGCTTTAATATTTTCCTTCCAAATACCTTTTGTGATCAAACAGTTTAATTCAGCACGGTGATGTTATATTTATTTTCAGGCTATCTTCTGCGTTTAGTCAGAAGCACTAACGTGTGATGACAAAGACAATGCAGATCCAAATATTATAACACCAAAGGAAGCTTTTTTATTTCATTCCCCATAACCCTTCGTTAAAAAAATAGATGAAGCTTAAAAAGTTCTCAAATTATGATTTCCTCCTTTTTCATTCGAAACTCTCCCTGAAATACTGTGTTCAGATGCTATATAAACATTATTAACTGCTGGCACCTTTATAAAATTCCTAGACAATGATCCTTACAAGAGCTCAAGAATTCTGAACTCAGCACTGCTGGGGCCACACCTTGAGTACAGTGTTCAGTATTGTGCCCCTCCCCACGAGACAGACATTGAGGCCCTGGAGTATGACCAGAGCAGGGCAATGAACAGTTGGACTGGATGATCTCGCAGGTCTTTTCCAAGCTTAGTGATTCTATGATTCCATGATAATCATGTCACACAGTTCTATATAAACTGAGTGCTCTAGAACATCAATGTACTAGATAACAGAACAGTAATTTTCATTAAAATTTGGTAGCGTTATTATCTTTGAAATTCCTTTTTGTCTACTTAATACAGCAGAATATGAGTGTATTAAAAAATTTCTTATGTCACCAATGAGCTTCCATGTTCCTTGACATTTTCAGCAGTTTGCTCCTTCAACAGGCACCTCCAGCACAAGTAATGCAAAGGCTGGCTGTGCCTGGCTGCAGACACAGCGTGCACTTGGGGCCAGAGGGAAGCACAGCGCAGCTCACATACTGAGCTACTCTGCCTGGGAGAAATCAACTCTCATTTTCAAAACCTGACTTTTTTTTTTCCCTGGTGATTCTTTTAAAAAATCATTAGTATAAACAGGATGGTATCATCTCCTTATTACATACATAAGACAAATGGACAAGAGCTATTTAATGTCACTGAAGCTTAAGACAATAAAGGCAAGACAAATTTACTCCTGTAGCTTAAGATAAGGGTAGCAACCATGTTTAAGTAAGAAAATTCAAATGAATGGGGCTCAAGATAAAAAACAAGCATTCCCTACAGGGTTTTTTGTTTGTTTGCTCATTTTTAAACCAAAATATAATCTTTGTAAAATAGGATATGAGACTTCTTAAACCCCCGTTAACAGGTTTAATGAAAGCACAGAAAATACATCTAAGAGTCTTCTAATGTGGTGCACGTTTGTTGTTACCACTGCTGACAGCAGACCTAAATGCTGACAGCAGACCTAAAAGATCACTTGACTGTAATGAAAAGCTAGCCAACTCATTATTACAGCAGTTTGACTGTTTATAGGGTATATCTGCAATCTGGAAACGTCTTCATTTGAGATACTTTTCTGTCTCAAATAACTTTAAAAGTTCCTTACATGTTCCAAGTATGGCTACAGTCTAAATACGGACCAACTACTAATTGGGATGGACTCCTCCAGAAAATCCTAGTTTCCACAGGTCACGTAGTGCCTCATATTTATTTCCATGGAAACTACAACAAATACAAAGAGCTCAATAATACTATTTGAGAGCGAAAGTTCTCAGCTACAAATCACTTTTTTTTTTTTTTTTAAACCACAGTCACCACCATTAACTGTGCATTTTCACCAGCAATGAACAAGAATCTGCACACTGTGCTCACAAAAATACTGCACTAACAGAGGTGACCCACAGTCACCGCTGCCACTGCAGAAATGCATCACTCACTGCCTCACTGTGCTCATATCCAATGTTTGGTTTCCATTACTGTTCAGCAAGCGTCAAAAGAAAAAAAAAACAAACATGACCCTTTTCTTCTGCGTGGAATCTGGAGAGGAAATCAAACTACACAGAAGATAAGAACCAGTCCTGGAAGATATCTGACTCATTAATATCATTTAATTTCAGCACAAACAGGAAAATAAATAGATGCTGGAAGATGGGGCAGGAAACAAGAAAAACATCATAGCAGTACGCCTACATCCAACACCAACAAATTGCAAAAAATTTGAAGAAAAACAACAAACCAAAGATTTAATGCCTGAAAAGCGTGCTATGATTGAAAAACATAGCTATAGGGTCCTATATACTTGACAGCCACACTGCCATGCAATGCTTGGACTAACACAGAGCCCAGCCATAGAGCTGCGGCTTTCCTTTCAGGTCTGCCCCCTGCGAGCCTCCTGCTCGATGGCATGCTCACTTAGGATATCAAATAATCACTCTAATTAAAACCTTGTTTCAATTTCAGTTTGACTAAAAGTACTAAAATGAATGCATGGTTAACTGATGAGTACTGTAAAAGCGCACCCTAAAAATCTGCAACGTGTGGATTTGTCCACTGTGATAGTGAAATTTAATTTTGTTTATTTAATTCCTCGTTTGTAAGAGGAATATTTATCTTGGGACTGAATTAAAGTCAAACAGTGTTTTACAAAAAAATTAATTTCACTGTTGAAATGAAAAACGGGGGGAAAAACATTCACAGTAGGAAACAACACACCAAACTTCTTTCTGTGGACAAATAACTCATTGATTTAGCAACAGAAGAATCACACCATCATATCTGCACTGACGCTAAATTCTCCTGTGTCAGGATTAAGCCTCTGACATTAGCTTTTACAGCCCAATTACAGCCACCTATAACTGGAATTGTGTAAGCTGAGGAGCTGCAGTAACCAAATGACTGAGGGGAAAGATCTCTTCCTAAACTACCTTGTATTGAGGCATCATGCAGTGCTTAACAGATTCCATGTAAGTAGGCTGGGCCTGATATTTCTCTTGAACTACATTTATCAGGGAGACATTATCAAATCCACTTCTTCACATCACGTACTTCCAAATGTGTTCCTTATGGTACATACTCAGCTTGCTTTAAATCAGACAACACACTTCACGGTCAAACTTCCTTTCTTCATCCTACTTCCAAGATTCCCATCCTATTCTGTATCAGAAAGAACAAGCTCGACTTATTTACAGACTTGTCAGCTGTACTAATCTGCACCAATTTGTAGTTCTAACTAACCAAATATGAACAATAACAACAGAACACAAACCTTACAACACACTTCCATAAATAAACTGTTGGTACCCTACATATCTCACCACTAAAAAGTCCTTTAACAAAGGCCCAATAGTACAGTAGTCCAAAGATA